TGGACTGGTTTGGGAACAGATTTTACCGTCCTGGGATAAAGAGGCGTGTGCAGGTATGCACAGGTATGTAGCTGGGCTCCGTTCTTTGTCTCTTGGAGTGAAAGAAGAGACTGGCCACCCCTAGAAACCATGCCTCAGATCTACAGGAATCACTGGGGCTGCCCAGTGATGCTTCAGGTGCTGGCATTTCTTTAACCTTTACAGAAAGAATGTCTGCAAGGTGCGAACGCTTTCTATGAGCAATGATGCTGCACTTTTCTCTAGTTGTGGTTTCTCCTGGTATCTCTACTCTTTGAAACCCATCTTTGTAAATAACAAATTTCAATAGGTTTTGGGGATTTCCATTTCTGAAAATGTGAATAGAAAAGTCTCTGTGTTTGTTACTGCAGCTTAAAGGTTACTGAAGATTCATTATGCTAAAACAATGATATCTTAGCAGGTAATACATCTTTGGCAGCTCTTCAAAGGTGTACTTGGGAATGGAAAAGAAAGGAGATTACATAATCATGATGGGTTTGATTTGTAGAGTTTCTGTATAATTTTTAATAGTCCATAGTACCTACACAACAACCTTTATTAGAAACACAGTTAATAATATTGATTGAATATTTAAAATTTTAATACTTTTTAAAAATCAAAGTGTTCAGTGTTGCTTTGACAGTCCACTTAAAAGTTTAAGCATAGAATTTAAATGCCATGGAATTTTACCTAAGTTTAGTATATAAAAATCTCCTCGGTTGAGGGTTAACAAAAATAAAAATAAATACACATCCAGGGAATACTAAATATGATTGAGAGGCTTAAACAGAGGAGTACTACAGTATCCAGAATCTGTGAGGAAATTTTATTACAGTTGAGATTGTGTAACTCAGAATAATAAGGCTCATTCATATCTAAATATATGAAGATTATTCAAATATACACAGCATGTGAACCACTCAGTTTCATTATTACAAAATATAAAACAAAAAAGATTTAACTGGAAGTGAAAATTAAACTCTAGAACGTGATTCAAAGAGAAGACCTTGTATAACTTTAAACTGTGAACTGTGCTATATGATTTAGAATATTACACCTTGTTGAGGAAGGAAATGAACTTCAGTTTTCCATTTCAGTTAGAAATAAGAAATGAACTTTTGAACATGTACTTACTTTCCAAATGCGTAAGTCAAATTGAACACAGATTCTTAAAAAATATATATTTTGTTGATTTTTTACAGAGAGGAAGGGAGAAGGATAGAGAGTTAGAAACATCGATGAGAGAGAAACATCGACCAGCTACCTCCTGCACACTCCCTACTGGGGATGTGCCCGCAACCCAGGTACATGCCCTTGACCAGAATCGAACCTGGGACCCTTCAGTCCGTAGGCCGACGCTCTATCCACTGAGCCAAACCGGTTAGGGCAGATTCTTAATCTTTTTTTTAAATAAATCTATTTTAATATATTGAAGTATAAGTCTAACCAACTATCGTTTTCAGTAAGATAATTTTACAATCGACGGGTTAAATGAAGAGCTCAGTCTGGCTGACAGCAGGTCAGAAACCTTTGGCCATCGTCTTCCCTCTGACTCATTCCAGGATAAAATGGCTGCTGGCAGAGGGGGAAGAAGGCCAAAAAGGGCAAGGACTTGAGATACTTCAAATGTCAATGGGACTTGGAAGGGCAGTGAGAGGGGCTGGTGGCCGCTCTTCTCCTACCTCTGGCCGCTATATTTCCTTTGGAAAGGAGGGTCTGGTTGAAACTTGTAGAAGCAGAGATGCCTCCTTTATGAACACAGCCGGCCCCCTCTCCCCCCGCCCAGACCCCCACCCTGGGGTTCTCTGTGGTTTTCTGCGATTATTTCCTTGTCTTTATATCTTCCTATGTTTTCTTCTACTTCTGCATTACATGTTGCCTCGCCATCAAGGTCCTCATCAGAATTTCCCCACCTCATGTCATACTTCTCTCTTAGCTCTTGTCCCACTCTCATTTTCTAAGCCATCCTGAAGCTTCAAGTGAAAAGCAATAAATTCCTCACATACCAGAACAAACACAGAAATAAAACCCCCACCTTTTTTGGACTAAAAGCTACAGAAATTACATTCTTGTGTCAGTGCCGAACTTTTATGCCTAAGAACAGTATCCGAGACCCACTTTCCCACTATTTCAATTTCAAGCATACATCTAGGTTAAACTAGAATCTATTGCTACTCTGTCTCATAGCATATACCTCGCATACAAATTCAGGTCCTATACAGCTGAATTTAAATGCCATTTCAAAAGGTCATTTGACTTTCAATTGTTTTTAACAGAAACACACACACACACGCACGCACGCACACACACTCACACACTGACAACACAGGGTAACTATTTGTGGACTGTATAAATAACTATAGAGATTGTCAAACAAACCAAATGCAAAGACAGAAAGGCACCTTACACCACGCGCAATGTTTTATCCCATTCAACATTTGTTAAAACCCTCTTGGGTGCAAAGTATCCAACCAGAGAGAGGGTGGATGAAAAATGAGCCAGACCAGGTTAGCATATTCTATGCTATGCTCTCCAGTCACCTGGTACTTCTCCATCAAGGCAAGCTTTGTAATTGCAACTAATTATTACCTTATTTGTTCAGTCCTGTCTCTCCTTCCCACTGGCACATTCTTAGCAAATGAGGAGGATCCCAGTTAATACGCAGCCTGGTGTCGGCCACGGAGTAGAATTCTAATCAATATTGACTGAGTAACAGTATGATGTTACGTTGTCAAACACACCGAATAAGGTAGTGAATAAGAGTGTCAGTTAATGCACACACAACTTCCTCTAACAGTCAAAAGTTAGAAGAATTTGTCCACTTAGAGCAGCATCAGAGAGGAAAGATGAATGCTGCCTTCGTGTTTTTCACTCTACAAAGACTTTAAGACCAAATAGCTTTCAAAGCCCAAGGGGACAATGAGCCAACACTCCTACTTTTCCATCTGTTGGAGGAATGAGCTAGCGCTACTCGGGGTAGAATTTTATACTGTTCAGCTAGGGCTTTATTAAATTTCCAGCAAATACCTGCTACTGCCTCTTTGGAAGCCTTCCTAGTAGGTAACTGGAACAGGATTCAATTGAATAAAAGGCAAACAGTAGCTCCATATACCTATTCAGAGTGCATGGAAATTTCATTAAAAATGGCCTTTGCTATTCTAGCCGGTGTGTCTAAGTGGTTAGAGCATCGGCCCTTGCACCAAAGGGTCTCAGGTTCAATTCCTAGCCAAGGGCACACACCTCGGTTGCAGGTTTGTTCCCTGGACCATGGTTGGGGTGCATTTGGGAGGCAACCAGTTGATGTGTCTCTCTTCCATTGATGTTTCTCTCTGTCTGTCTGTCTCTCTCCCTTCCACTTTCTCTCTTAAAAAAAAAATCAATGGAAAAAGTATTCTCAGGTATTAACAACAACAACAACGAAAAACAAGCCTTTACCTTAAAATTGCATTTCTGTTTATATGCCGATGCTCAAAAACCTTAAAGCATTTATTTTAATAAAATTAAAATACTTCTTCTGAATGCCCTACAATTAAACTCAGTATGGAATCAATTATTTAAATACCACATATTCTCTTGTAGTCTTATTATTGTCCGTTTTAGGTTTGTAACTTTTTTAAATTAATAAACCTTATTTTTAGAGCAGTTTTTGATTTATAGATGTTTATAAATTTTAAAGAGAAAAGTGCAATAAATTAAGTTCTACCAGAGAAATATATTAAAAATTTCAAAGGCTAACATTTATCGTATTAGCACAACACAGTTAAAACAGTTAATTATATATAAATATTAGCAATTAAAAATCATTTAAATATGATCTTTATGTTCATAAATCAAATTTCTATTTCTGTACTAAAATGCAAAATACCATTTTGAAACACAAAATGAAAAATTCTTGTAACAATCATATAAAATATAGTGAGTTACAACCAGGTTATAAGGAATACCATCAAATAACTATTTCAATATAATATCATTACATAAGGCTCCAATTCCAAAATCACCATTATAGTTTGTAAAATCAAGATCAGCCGGGTCCAGGGAATTATGTATCTTTAAATTTTTTTGTGTGTTGCACATTTTCGTCTTGACTTTTGTGTATAAGAACACGAGTATTCAAACATAAATGAGATTTAATCCATTTGCCTATAATTTATTTGCTGTAAAAGAAACACCACATTATATGCTTTTGTCTGTTAGTTAAGTAGAAGATACACTATTATTTCCATGATACCAGGGAGTTAATGTTTAATTATCAACACCCATTTGAAAAAAAAGACATTGCTTTGACTCACAGATTTCTTAATTGCTAACAGAGGCTTTGCTGAGTAGGAGCACTGAATCTAATTTATTTTGGTGGATGTGACTTAGCGACTGAATTTCAAACTGGCAAAGCTTTGACTATCTTCACTGTCAGCAGAAAATCCCTCCATCCCTGCTGCTGGAGAATGGTGCTGCTTGAAGTTTTAACAGGGAAAGAAACTGCAGTGAGGCGATTGATACCACGGGTAACTGCTGCTCACAAACTGAAAAAGAAGTTAGGCTGTCAGCAATAAAAATCTATTACTCGCACAGAACATGAGGTGCCGTCTTCATCACCGTATCTTGCTGGGAATGAAAATGAACTGGGCTGGTTCCAACTTGAGAAAGCTACAGAAAAGCAAAGAGCCCACAGGTCAGGGCACCTTTACAAAGGATCAGCACCCGGCAATCAGGGGGACCGCGGCTCAACCCCTCCCTGAGGAAGAAAGACGTTAAACCCATTGCAAGAACAGCGGCCACGGTTGGAGTTAGAGCAGGTTCATCCCTGAAAAACAAAACCATTGTTCCATTTTCCGAAGAGCTGACTAGTTTAAAGTGCCCCTTTCCCTCTGGAACAGGTCACGGTCCACATGTTACTGCAATAAAACGAGTAAGAGAAAAAGAATATATGTACTTTAATGACAACTCGGAGATGAAGTCAAAAGTAACAGAAAAATGCCTACCCGTCTGGCTGAGCTGAGAAGCGCTGCGACTTTTCCGGGAGAGGCCAACAATAGCTACCATTTTGGCCCCGATGCTAGAGCGCCGCTTGTGGCCGCCGGGGCCCAGGGCGCCCACTGCCGTGTCCGACTGGCTGCCCTCGCTCTTCTCCAGCGAGCACATGTCGCCGCTGATGCTGGTGCTCTTGGTCATGTTCTTCCCCGAGGCGCCCACTTGTCGGCTTTGCATTTTGGATGTAAAGACACTGTAGGCCGATGGATCGTTAAGAGTGAAGATGAGAGTAAAAGGGAAAAGACAGAAAAGGTGTTTTAGAGGAAACATCTGAGATCGAATTGAAGTCTATCATTTATGGGGCATATTTTGAGGATTACGGTTTTTCAAACACCAGGGTCATGAATGGGCCTTCCTATTCAGGGTGAACCTTAACACGACTATGGAAAACGGACTTATCGTTTCACTTCTGGTGTCAAAGAAGACACCAGTTTGCATGGCCAGAGGAAGAAAAAAATTCATGAAAAATCAGTGGGCTGTCCTGCAAGTGAAAATAAGCTTTGAGGCAGGTGTGTAGCCTAAGGAGGACGTTTCCAAAGCATTCCTCCCATATTGATTCCCTACTGCCTTCAAAAAGAAATTCGGCTGTCCTGCAAGTGAAAATAAGCTTTGAGGCAGGTGTGCAGCCTAAGGAGGATGTTTCCAAAGCATTCCTCCCCCTATTGATTCCCTATTGCCTTCAAAAAGAAATTCGATGGAGTGGGAACATTTTCCAAAAAATAGCAAAAATTACAGCATCCACTGCTCAGAGTGGCCTTTTAAAACAAGTTTTTTTCACTTTATGAAAAACCTAATGAAGTTTATCTAGCAATAGTGAAATCTTCTAACAGGGACTGATGTTTTCATTAGCTTTGAATTAAACATAATTTATTTCACTTCATATCGTTTCATATTTATTGACATAAGTCAATATTAAAAAAGATTTTCCTCTTGCATTCATTTGGCAAGGAAAAATCATTATCGGTTTTCTAGACGGTGGTCAGAAAGCAATCAGTGAGTCCAGGAGGCATGCGAGCTGACTGCTGATCCTCGGGACTGACTCCGGGGATGGAAGTAATCAGAGAGAGGACCTGGATTTTTCTCATGATCATTGCCTGGGATAGGAGGCAGAGTAAGAAGTTAAAGAATGTGGAAGTAGGCTATCCATCTAGCCCCATAAGCCTGGAAGAATGTGAAGGACAGTGAGTCCAGGAGGCATGCGAGCTGACTGCTGATCCACGGGACTGACTCCGTGGATGGAAGTAATCAGGAAGAGGACCTGGATTTTCTCATGATCACTGCCTGGGGTAGGAGGCAGAGTAAGAAGTTAAAGAATGTGGAAGTAGCAGCCTGAATGGCAGAAATAGGAAGACTCATTTATGTATCAACAATTTTTGGCTCAGTATGAGAAAGTGATAGTTTCTGCTTTACTTTGATTCTGATCAATCTGAGCACATAACACATAATTACAGAAACAAAATAAAAAAATAGAAAACATTAGAAAAAATGTATACATCATTTAAAGGGTGAAAATAAGAAAACTGACCCACAGAGGTGAGCTCTTATCTCTATTCCATTTCTTGGTCTTAATAGACAAAATATTTTTTTCTCTAGCCTAGAGTAAAATCTGCTAAAAGGATAGGACAATTTGTTAATTTTATTAATGTATGTACATTTTCTCCAAATATTTAAGAGGGGAAAGGCTCAATATGAAATTTTAAAAAAATACAGTAAAGTATATTATTTTAACCACCACATTAGTTTCAACAAGAAATGAGGCATAAAGAGAAAGAGAGAAGCAAAGAGAACAGTGTATATGCTTCTATAAACCTCAAATCGATCATTTTCAAGCTTGTTTGATTTTGCTATTCTTTAATAAGCAACAAAACCAAAACATTTTAGAGGCATATAAACATGGGCTTGAATCCCAACTTCGCTTTTTCTGAAAGAGTTAATTGCTCTACTCTGAGCCTCCGCTTCCTCTAATTTATAAAATTAGAATTTTCCTTCCTTATTTTCAATAATAGAGATAATATGTCTGAAGTAAAAATTCAATGAATAGAAATTACAATAATTATTATTAAGGATATGGGCAATAGATAAAATAAGGTCAAACATGTATTATATACAGTAAATACATAACAGCATCAGTAGAAATAATATCTGCAATTATAAATTTAAAGTGAAACATTTTGAGATTAAAATGTGTAAAACTGTTTTCATGCAGCCAGCATTATCTAAGGGAGAGTAGACTACACTAGGAGTCATGAATTCCAGTTTGTTCTTTGGCTTTAGTGACTGATCCTGGGGGAGCTGTTTCCCTTTCTGGAGTGTGGTTTCCTTGTTTAACAAGTAAGAAAACATAAGTAAGCACCAAGCAGAAAGCCGGACATATGAGCTCCAAAAGCTATTCTCTTCCTCTTTCTCAATATCACCATCATCACCATCATCAACCATTAAGCATCTATTAAACATCTTGAACTGGAATATCTATAAGGTCCCCTTTAACTAGTGGATGCTTTGCTCCTCTAGATATCTCTTGTTCCAGGGACTCTGAGCAAATAAACGCAGAATGCAACGTAAGATTTTCATAGTATGCTGTCATCAGAAAAGGCATGGCATGGCATAGAAAAAGCAGTTTTTGGTTGAGCAAAGGCTTTGAAAATAATAACAAAGGCCCACAGAGTCACAGTAACCTAGTGCTCCTGTTATGTAAGAATTTGTGCCCCAAACATATATTTTCTAAAAAACCCACCTATTTTATCTATCAGGGAAGTCAAAGATATACTCACAAAATATGGCTTACTGGGCCTTCTGATTTCTGCTTTTTAATTTTCATGGTTGGATATAAAGGGCATAAAAAACTTGGCCAAAATCAAACGGGACACAATAAAATACTCAATGGAAATGATAAATCAGCATGTAGGTTAATATTTTAATTAGCATTTGGTTTTAAAGAAGTACACTTCTCTTCAATCTAGCAACTTGGATAATGCATTATCTACCAGAAAGGGTTATTAGACTTTTTGTTAAGATGGATCTACTTTTCATCTCCTTAAAACTTCGAGATCACCGGGGATGCGTTTATAAGTAGTTGCGCTGGAATGCTGTTCTGAGGGAGGGAGGCTGATGTGAGGATATCACTATTGGCTGATTTTACTGTCCTCAGTGGACGTCACCTAAACCTAAAGCAAACAAACTATCAACCAGACATTTTAAAGTTTTCGGGCTCTTGATTTATAGAATACTTGTAAAGACTCTGCAAACATGGGTGTCATTTGGAATGCTCATTGTGCTTAATCAAGCCAAGACCCATTACATTACCAATTACTTTAAAAGACAGAATTTGAAAGGGTCTCGTAATATAATAAATTTCCAATGTTGCTGGTGGTCTCAGTGATAGATTTCTGAGGGGCAATTTGGCAAATACATAAAAAACCTTAAAAAAATAAGCCGACCTTTTAACCTATCGATTCTATTTTTAGGATTGATCCTAAGGAATGTGTACAGATTTAGCAAGAATGATTATTTATTGAGAATTGATTACAACAGCAAAATAAACACACACGGGAAAACCCCATAAACGTCCAACTACAGAGGGTGTCTGAATAAGTTATGTTCATCAATAAAATAGAATGTACCTTTGAAAATGCTGTTGTAAATAAATATTTATTGACATAAAATATGTTCCTGACATGGAGAAAGGGAAAGAGGAAGCAGACATTTGAGCTTAGTTTTGGCTGGCACACATACTAAATGAGGAATTACCCTAACGCTTGGGGACACAGACAAATTCAACTGCCACAGGCTCTTCAGTGGCACACTGAGAGAAACAAAGAAATTCATATAAAAAAAGAAAGAAACATCTCTTGCTAAATTAGGTAGTTCGGGAAACCTGCGCAAGAATATGAATATGAACAGGGAATATGAAGAAAAATAACTTGTCTGTTGAGGAAGTTTTATATTCTTAGGGGGGTAAAGTACAAATGCAAAAAGATCTGGATGGAGACACTGAGAATAGTGTCCTAAAGGTAGTTTTAATTTTCTCTGGTTGGTAATGATGCTTTTAAAAAATGTCCTTTTTAAAAATTTTGTTTCCCCCCAAATGAATATAAAAGGTATTGGCAATAAGAAAAAAATTAAAAGAAATAAACAAATGAAACAAATAAAAAGAGCAATCAAAGACCAACACTCCTTTTCCTTTGACGTAGGTAAAATCATTCAACACACACAGTTCATACCATAGACCAAAGGTGCAGCACGGCTTTCAAGCTAATCCAGTTTCCTGCACAATAATATTGGGTGTTGATATAGGCTACGCCGTTTCAGAAAAAGACACAGAGTTTCTGCATTTCTACGTTCTGTCTTATGCACATTTTCTAATTTTTGCTTTATAAAAAAATGAAAAATGATCTATTTAGTATTCTAAAAGTAAAATATACAAAATTGCCAATGCAAGTGATCTATTTTATCACATCCTTATCGTTATTGAAAGTTGTATCCTGAAAGATTTTTTTTTATAATTCCTTTAAAAAATATATATATTTTTATTGATTTCAGAGTGGAAAGGACTGGGAGAGGGAGAAACATGAATGATGACAGGAAATCATGAATCAGCTGCCCCTTGCACACCCTCTACTGGGGATGTGCCCTGAGCGGAATTGAACCCTGACCTCCTGGTTCATAGGTTGACGTCCAACCAATTGATAGCTATCTCAGCTGGGCTATCCTGAAAGATTTTTTTTATTTTATTAAAAAGCAAATCTACTTTGTCAATCATTAGGCAAAAGGTAATGAAAGTTGAGTAAAATATTTGTAAATATTTCCCCAAAGACTTAAATAGCATATCAGGGGTTACAGAAGTATGTGATTAAATTAAATGAAGGTTACAGGCCACAGGGCTAAAAGTTTTAATTCATAGATTTGAATGAACAGATCCAAGTGTTTGGCTGGTAAGATAAATAGGAAAGACAAATTCTGAGTTTGTGAGTAGCATTGTAAACAAAATATATAGTCACGTCCAAACAAGAATTTCATTATATTCTTGTTTGAGAGCTGGAAGGTGGTTAGAAGAGAATTCACCCAAGGAATTAGAGACTGAGGTGATTCAGAATTTTGTGATTAGAGATACTTGGGGCCTAGCAACCAATACAGTGCAGTATGAGAACCGCAGCACAGGAACAGAGAAGACACTTAAGGATGGAGAGGAGACAG